GAAATAGAAGAGAGAGTGATAGAATGGAATAGAAGAGAGAGTAATAGAGTAGAAAAGAACAGAGAGTGATAGAATAGAATAGAACAGAGAGTAATGGAATGGAATAGAACAGAGTTATAGAATAGAACAGAATAGAGAGGAATAGAGAGTAGTAGAGTGAAATAGAAGAGAGAGAGTAATAGAATGGAATAGAACAGATTTATAGAATAGAACAGAGAATAATAGAATGGAACAGAGAATAATAGAATGGAATAGAACAGAGAGTAATGGGATGGAATAGAACAGAGAGTAATAGAATAGAATAGAACAGAGAGTGATGGAATAGAATAGAATAGAGAGTAGGAATAGAGTAAAAGAATGGAATAGAAAAGAGTCATAGAATAGAACAAAGGGTAGTAGCATGGAATAGACAGTAAAAGAACGGAACAGAACAGAGAGTAATAGAATAGAATGGAATAGAACAGAGTTATAGAATAGAACAGAGTAATAGGATACAACAGAGAGTAATAGAATAGAACAGAGCAATGCAATACAATAGTGTAGAACTGGGTAATAGAATAGAGTACAACAGAGAGTAATAGCATAGAACAGAACAGGGTAATAGAATAGGGCAGGGTAACAAAATAGAACAGAACAAATAGTAATGGATTAGAATATGACAAAAGAGGAGGATAGAACAGAGAGTAGCAGAAACGCAGAGAACATAAAGTGACATATTAGAATAGACTCAGAGAGTAACAGAGTACAATAAACTAGATATAACAAGATGCTGAACCCCAAATTGTCCCTTCTCATAGAGAAAAGTGCTGCACATAGATGCACTGTATAAATGTGTGTGAATGGGTAAATGCTTAATAAATAAGGACCATTTACCATTTACAATACAATGAAATAGGACTGGGTAATATAGAGTAATAGCATAGAATAGAACCTAGTAATAGAATAGAACAGAAAGTAATAGCATAGAATACAACAGGGTAACAAAAAAGAACAGAACAAATAGTAATGGAGTAGAACATGACAAAAAAAGAGAATAGAACAAAAGCAGAAAAGCAGAGAACAAATAGTAACATATTATAATAGACTCAGAGAGTGATAGAGTAAAATACAACAGAGAGTAACAGAGTAGAATAAAATAGAGAATAATTGAATATAATAGAACATTAGATTGATAGAATAGATAGAACAGAGAAAATAGAATTTAACAGAGTAATTAAATTGAACAGAACAGTAAGTAATTAAATTGAACAGAACAGTAAGTAATAGAATAGAATAGAACTGAGTAATATAATACAATAAAGCAGGGTAATATAATAGATCAGAACAGAGAGTAATGGGATAGAACTGAGTCACAGAGTAGACTAGAACAGATCAATGGAATAAAATAGAACAGAGAGTTATAGAATACAAAAGAATAGAACAGATAGTTATAGATGGGAATAGAAAGTAATAGAACAGAAGAGAACAAAGAGTAATAGAATAGAACAGGGAGTAATAGAATAAAATAAAACAGTGTAATAGAATAGAACAGAACAAGGAGTAATTGAATAGAATAGAATAGAATAGAATAGATTAGACTCAGAGAGTAATAGAATAGGACAGAGTCATAGAATTGAATAGAACAGCAATATAACAAAATAGAATAGAGCAGAGCAGATATTGCTATAATCAAACAGAGAATAATAGAAGATAAAACATATCTGCAGAGCTAAGAGTAAAGAACTAATTCCAGCAGTTTACTGGAGCCATGAATGACGAGGAGAAATGAAAACACGTTAGCATGTTAGGAGCACCTAACTAAAACTGATGCAGTCTAAATACAACTGTCCTGCTGTGTTGTATTATACACAGAGGTGGGTCTGTTATGTACAGATGTGTTTGTTGATGCACATGAGGTGAAAACAAAAAATAGACACAGCATCCTGCAAATTGACCACACGGTTTAATCAGCTCCTCTCTGAAACACTTCATGAGGGTAGGATCTATTGTATTGCAGGGCTGTTGTCCAGGCCTCCATTAATTTTTGTCTGTTAGTTGTACCTAATACACTGCAACGTAGGTTTATAATAATAAATAATGAAGACAAATAAGAAGAAACCAGGGTAAAACAGATGGGCAATAGAGGCAAATCTGGATAGAACATTTGAAAATGCTAAAATGTTCCACTTTCCTCCACTGCTTTGCTGCTCTGGAAGACTGAAGCAGGGCCACAGCTTCTGGAGGCAGCTTTGCCAAGAGGCAAACACAAAGAACATAACGGGAGAGCAGAGGAGAG